GGGTGTCACAGGGCGGGGACGGGGGGCAGCAAGCAAGAAAGAGAGCAGGAGGAAAAAGGCCTCTCAGTGCTGGTGGCCCCCGCTCAGTTCCCCAAGAGCTTCTCCCCGGGTCCACTGCTGCCCAGAGACCCCTGTGAGAAAAAACACTCCAGACAAAGTCAAAGGAGTTAAACTGCCTATCTGAAAGGTAGCAGCCTGAGCAGGAAAGGGCAGATTCCATCAATACACCCACCCACTGCACGACAGCCCCTGCGGTCAAGTCGATGCCCACTCCCAGCGAGCCCACAGGACAAGCGTTTCCAGCACTGCCCCCCAGGGATTCCGAGGCTGTCGGAAGCAGGCTGCCTCAGCTTTGCCCCACAGGGTGGCTGGTGGGCTCAAATTGCAATCCTTCCGGCTGGCACCTGAGCGCTTAACTGCGGCGCTACCAGGCATCGTTCCAACACACAAACAGTGTGCATGGTACGGCCCGGGCACACCTGCCTGGCTGCCCAGCACAAGTTCCCTCTTCATTCCATGAGCATCCATGTCCGTTTCGGGGAATCCCACTGGCCACATTTCAATGGGATACGATTCATTGAGAATCAGAGGTTTCTGTCATCAGAATCCAAAGCACACCAGCCCCTAGCGGCCTTGCGGGAAGGGCAGAGACGGACTGTTCCGAAGGGTTTCCAGGGCTGTCACCCGAGAGGAACCAGATTGCCGGCGAGCACTTGGCCCAGTGCGCCACCTTTCAGCTATCGGTGAATGAAATTTAGAAAGGGAGCCAAGAGCTGTGTCTTTTTAAAACTGAGTCAGGACAGCACTTCCTGAGGAAGGGAAACTTCCTGAACCCACTAAACAATACTTACCACTGTTATTCAAGAGCCTTCTCCAATAAAACTTTAAAGCATGACACTCCGTGAGGGCAGTGGTTCAACCTTCCTCATGCTGCCACCCTTTCACACAGTTCCTCATGTGGTGGTGACCCCCAACCATAAAATAATTTTCGTTGCTACTTCATAACTGTAATTTTGCTACTGTTATGAACCGGGGAACCCCTGTGAATGGGTCATTTGACCCCCACAGGGGTCACAACCCACAGGTTGAGAACCGCTGCTTTAGAAGCATGCTCATCTCTCACACTGAGCACTTTGTCAGGTGCCTCCTGGGTCCCCTCCAGACACCTACATCTGTCTCTCCATCTCAGTGATCCTTGTAGGAATGACCACCTGACCTGCATCCGGTCATCTGAAAACAAACAGCCGAAGCCTATTTATATTATCAATGAAATGGCAACTCAAATTCATGTGCCTAACTCCCTCTGGGGAGTCCTGGTGGCACAGTGGCTAAGCACTTGCTGCTAAAAGGCCACTCGGCGCTTTGGAGAAAGATAAATCAATCAGTCTGCTTTGCCAAAAACGCACAGCCTTAGAAGCCCCTTGGGGACAGTTCTACTCTGTCCTATAGGATCACTGTGAGTCAGAATGGACTCGAGGACAATGGGCTTGGTCTGGCCCTTTCTTTTTTCACTCCTTTATGTCAATATCCATTTAAGGAAACAATTGCTCTCACATGAAGTAAGATGACCTGGTGCCGCCTGGCCCATTTTCAAAACAAACAGTAGCTGCTGTTGGCAAGCGGTGCAGCCTCATTACAAGTGAAGGCAGAGGTATTTTTCAGTATTATCTGAAGTACATTCGTTAGCACTCATTGTTTTTAAAATATATTCTACCTGCAACATCTCACTCCCCAGGTTTTGCCAGAAGGTAACATGTACTACATCAGCTTCTGGCTTGGCTAGACAATGAAAGGGCTCCCTCTACTGGGGCCACTGAGTCAACGCTGACTCACAGTGACCCCAGAGCAGTGGTTCTCAACCTTCGTAATGCCCCCACCCTTCTTCAGTAGAGCTCCTCATGTGGTGGTGACCCCCCAACCATAAAATTATTTTTGTTGCTACTTCCTATCTATAATTTTGCTACTGTTATGAATCAGGCGACCCCTATGAAAGGGTCGTTCAACCCCCAAAGGGGTTGAAAGGGGTCGTGACCCACAGGTTGAGAACCACTGCCCTATAAGAAGGGTAGCACTGCCCTTGTGGGTTTCTGAGACTGTAAGTCATCTTTCTCCCTCAGAGCAGGTAGTGGTTTGGAACTGCCGACCTGGTGCTAAGCAGTCCAACACATAACCCACTGTACCACCAGGGCTCTCTCTGCTGGATAAGACTGCGGATGGACTGAGTAGGTCCCCGGGTTTGTTCCATGTTCTAGAAGGGTCCTCAGAGTTCTCCTGAGAGCTACGGTCATGATGACTCACGGGCTTCAGGGCCTTCCCAGGTTTCGAGGACAAAGAGAAACCCATTGCTGCTGGGGGCGGGGAGAGGGTCCAACTCCCAGACACCCTGTCCAACAGAGCTCAGCTGCCACAGAGGCTGCCCAGCGCTGTGTGCTGCTATGGAAGCTGACTGGTGGGCTGGAGGGTCTGAACAGCCCAATGTGCCAACCTGTGCCCACCTGTGCCCTGAGGGCTCATGGGGGCAGAAGGAAGGTCCAACAATCCAGACAGCTGCAAGGACCAATGGGCACGCTGCTGCTCTTAGGTGCAGTGACTGCACCCACACAGGAAGAGACACTGCCCGCTCCAGTGCCATCCTTGAGAACAGTGCTGTGTACGAGCTAAGAAAGTTACCTGCTAAAAATGGATTCATTCTATTCAAAAAAGGCAAATCTATTTAGATAATGGTTTTAATGAGCTTTAGTAAGACTTTGATCCATTAGTTAAAGAAAAACAAAACACACACACCATGCCAAGTACACTAATAAATTCTAAATGAAAATAGTTGCAATCTTTTCTGTTTTAAAGGAAAGGCTCCACAAACGAACACACAAGACACTAGGGGGCAGCAGAGTGCCACACCACCAACTCAGCCAGCCTTCCACTCCTTGGTGCTGAAGTCACTGTGAATGCCCAGCAACAGGGGTCAACTGAGAGGTTATGGATTTAACGTATGACGGATTCTTCAGAGAGGCAGAAGGGAAAGCAGTCACTTGGCCAGCATTCCGATCTTGCCCCAAACACCTGGGTTCCCAGTTGTCACCCTGAGGATCTGACTATCCTGGTTTAGGTGGGAGAAAGATGCACAACAAAACTTAACTGGACTCCCACAGAGAAGAGGACCCAGAGACTGCGACCCTGAGATGCCCTTCAAGCCTTGAGCCAAACTATGCTGAGATCACCTTCAGAAGTGGAGTGATCAAAAAAACAACCTGAGAGAATGGAGAGCTCTACTAAAAACCCACTTGTTCTGAGCCCAAAAGGAGCCCTGGTGTCACAGAGGATTAAGCACTGGGCAACTGATACGCCAGCATTTCCAACCCACTGGTCACTCATGAAACGAGGAATCTGCTTCCGTAAAGTTCGACAGCCTTGACACTGACACCCTGTCCAACAGCATGGCTCGGGGTCGGAATCGACCCGATGGCAGTGGGGTAAGACCAAAGGGTCACCTTTAATCCAAAGCAAAGATGAAAAGATAAGGGGGTATGGAAACTAGAGAACAGGAAATGGAACAACCAGAATGCAAACACAGAGAATGCTGACACACCTGAAAAACAGACAAATGGTCACTGACCTATTTGTATAGAAATTGTTCAATGGAAACCTGACTCACTGCATAAACTTTCACCCAAACACAACAAAATTGATCAGTCAAAAAACCCAAAAAAAACTAACACCGTCTCCTCCCCCATCTCCAGCCTCAAACCTATCAAAGGCTTGAACTGAATTTCTACTAAAAACTTACCAAGTCACAGAACTCAAACACGAGAAGATAGGGGATTGCTTCTACACACTGTCCAACACACTGCAGGATATTTGGATGCTGGAGAATACTGGAAAAAGAAGAGCCGTGGTATTTGTCATTAAGAAGCATGCTAGCATAACTGGCTAACAGTTTACCTCACATTTTAATATTCATACTGATTAAATAAAACAAACTGAAAAGGTCACAATATAAATATACTAAGCAGATGCACACTACTCAAATATTCAATAAATATGAAAATGTACAAAACCAGCCTCTACCTTATCAAATGAATTCTGTTGAGATGATAATCGTTGCCACGAAGCCGTAGTATTCCCTCCCTATCCTTTTGATGTCTGATACCAGTTCCCCTTTGTCCCCTCCCTCCCCTCCCCTACGTCCCAAGAACCCTTATTATTATTATTACTTTCCTAATAGTAGTTTTCTTTTTCTTTTTCGTCATATCTTGCAAGATTCAATGTGTGCACACTACAGTCCTGTTGCTCGGCCCTGTCGAGTGGGTTATGCACTCGTCCGTGCCATCAGCTCCCTTATCTGTCCCCGTTCCCCGGGGAGCCATTACTGCTTTACTGTTTCTGGCTTTCACGTGCCGAACAATCTTAAATATACAAACGAACATACCCAAATCTAACGTGATTAATGAGGTAAGACAAATAAAAACATAATAGTAAGTGGAGGAGATATTAGAGAACTAGAGGAGAATTATGTGGTTCATCAGTGCTTTCCCACTCCCTAAATTTTTCATCCCTTCTGTGTGGCCCTTCTGAGAGGGATTGTCTCATTATCTCACAGGTGGGATTTGGGTCTCCACTACACCCATGCCCCTTCACATCAATTTGCTTGCTTGCTTTTAAACTTCTGATACATCTTCCCGTTGACACACAGGCTGGAGTGCTTCTTCCATGTGGGCTTTGTTGCTTCCCTGTTGAGACTTTCTTTGTTCTCATGCAAGTTAATAGTTAGTGCTATGAACTTCCCTGTCCTTACCGTTTTATTATGAAAACGTATTAAGCCAGCAAATTTTATCATCTGCATTTTGGCTTACATTTAGTTGACTACATCTATTGCCATGGAATGAATTCTAACTCAGGATGGCCCTGCCGGTCAGAGGGAGTTGCCAGAGGGTTTCTAAGACTGTGATCCTCGTCTTTCTCCCAGGGTAGCCGGTAGGTTCAAATGGCCAACCTTTCATTAGCACCAGGCCACCAGGGCTCCTGCTCAGCTGTCCACTTGATTTGTTTCCTGAGACTTCCTCTTTGAGCCACAGAGCTTTGAGAAGTGTTGTTTGTTTCTAAATGTTTGTGGAGACTTCCCCCACCTCCTATAAGCTGTTCATCATTCATTTTGAGTTTGATTACAATGTGGGCAAAGAAAAATCTATGTATAGTTCCAATTCTTTAAATTGGCTGAAGATTGCTTGATGGCACAACATCTGGTCTATCTTGGGATGTGTTACCTGGGTGGTTGAAAAGAATGTGTCTTCTCCTCAGAGCAGTGGTTCTCAACCTTCCTAATGCCGTGACCCTCTAACATAGTTCCCTCATGTGGTGGTGACCCCCAACCATAAAATATTTTAATTGCTACTTCCTATCTGTAATTTTGCTGCTGTTATGAATGGGGCGACCCCTGTGAAAGGGTAGTTCAACCCCCCAAAGGGGTCGTGACCCACAGGTTGAGAACCACTGCCTTAGAGTGTTCTTTAAATGTCAATCAGATCCCGTTGGCTGATGGCACCACTGAATTCTATACTCTTGATAATTTCCTGCCAATTGTTGAAAAAGGAATGTTAAAATCCCCAACTCATAACTGTGGGCTTGTTTCTCTTTTCAATTCTACCCATTTTAGCTGCATATATTTTAAAGCTCTGTTGTTTCTTGAAAATAGTTGTTATTGCTGTTAAATGTCGAGTCAGTTCCGACTCACAGTGAGTGCGATGGTTAAAACGTGCGTGCAACTTGGCTGGGCCACGAGATCTCAGTGTTTTGACAGTTACAATGCAGCCATCCCAAGATGAGACCTGGTATCATGAAATCACACCTCCACAACGAGACCAGTGGAACGGGAGATTCCTGGGTGGCGTGGCCAGCTTCCCACACACGTGGGTGCTCTGGCAAAGCTTTTGCTGATCTGGCGCCTACGGGCCTCCGTGGTTTGGGTGACAAGTGTGCTGTAACTGAGGCGCCACTGCTTCTCCCTGCTGTCAAGATTTTTCTCCTTGTTTTTAGTTTGACGCTGATGGATCTTTACCTGCTTGAGATTCGCTCACCTTCTTGAAATGCTTATGTCTTTTCCAAAGTTGGAAGATTTTCCAGCAATTTTTTCTGATTGAGGGGTGTGTGTGTGTGTGTGTGTGTGTGTGTGTGTGTGACTATTTTTCACTTCCAAGTTTGTTTTAAATCTTCTGTTTCTTTGCGGAGACTTCCCCCCACTTGTGCTCACTGAGACACCGTTCTGAAGGCTGCCTTACTCCCCCGTCAGGTGACTCCAACATGTGCCATCTTGATGGTGGCAGCTGGGGTCTTCCTCACCCAAGTGGAGTTCTTCCGGTTCTGGGGAAGATGAGTGATCTTCGACTGAACCTGGGCATTTGGGTACTGTGTCATGGAACTTCGGTCCTTAATTAATGACATCATGTATTTTGCAAGTGATTCCTAAAGTTCCGCCCACTGCCCACCCCTCACCTGGCCAAGTGGCTTTAAACACTTAACTTTCAACAGACCCCAGGACATGGGTACAAAGCACGCGTGAAGCAGGTCTACTTACTAGTAAGGTTCTCCATTTTTCAAAAAAGCATCTTGTTCCTTTGGGCTCGCGCTTGCCTTTAACTCCTTCACTACCACTCTTGCTACACTCGTGCCCGTGTGAATCTCTCCAAGGAGCACCTATAACCAAAGTGCAGGGGTTCAAGTCACCTCCACTCACACGGCAGCAAGAAGTCCTTTCTCTTTGACTACAAACTGCAACATGAAAAATCAAATTAAACAGCGAGGCGGTAGCCTTCTCTTATTTTTCAGACATCCTCGGAAAACGCTTGGAAAACGCAAACGGATCTTCCCTCCGGAAAGGGCTCATCTTCACTTATTTGTCAGGTACTCGCAACATGTTTGTCACATGTTTTTCTTTTCTACTCATTAAAAAGTGGACTAAGATTCAGAAGGACAAGGAAAGGGGGAAGGTGGAAAGTGGGAAACTCAGAGAGGAAGTGGGATCAGTGATGTTATATCGAGGGGACTGTAAGGAACGAGATGAAACAGGACGTGTATGAATTGTTGAATGTGCAACTGATGATCTGCTCTGTAAACTTTCACTGAATTAAACCATCAAAAGTTGTTTACTTTTGCTTTTAAAAGCATTACTTTTTCACGGAAAGGAACAATAGCACTGACATTCTAGAAGACCAATTTACGAACTCAGCTGGGTCACAACTGAAATGTTTCTAAAAACTCTTCACCGGGGTTTTGTAATTTAGTCTCCACCTCGCGGGGAAAAAAAACATCAACTGACAAACAGCCAATGCACTGTATCACTTTTATGTAACCCTGAAGACCCGTAGCATCCCAAAGATAGCAGGCCCTTATCGTGAAGCCAGGCCTCGGGTCAAACACTCTCCTACGGCCAGGCCCCAGACCCCCGGGAGAACGAGCTGCCTCACTGAGTGTCAGGGGACAGTGTGGAAGTAGTCCAAAATACAGCATTTAGGTTGAAACGATGGATCCTTCAAAAAAGAGCTTTGTCTTATTTCTAGAAAAGACTCAGCTCAACATCAATGCCCTGGAAATGAAGAGGAAGGACTTGAACACAATTCAACGTGCTTATTAGGAATATAATAGCAGTTAAGTGGGGCTAGAAAACATGATGAGGTTCTGAGAATTAAGTCACAGTCTTGGGTTTAAATGATCAGCTTGTGCATAAACAGTAACCCTAACAATCATTAGCGTTCACAGGCTCAACCATCAACTCCAGTTCCAAGGGGGGGGGAGAACAAAGGAGGCTGGTCAATGCTCGGACTCAGTCCGCCGCCCCCCCTGCAACTGCCGTCGTCATTCTCGGTGCTCGATCACCACACAGACAATTCATCCGACAATGGACCCCTCATTCTTCAATGTCACTCATTTGCCCTCCAGCCTGAAATGCATATCCAGCTGTAGAAGCCCTGGTGGCATAGTGGGTTACATGATGGCTGCTCACCTCAAGGTTAGCAGTTTGAAACCACCAGCCACACTGAGAAAGATAAAGCTTTCTACCCTTGTAAAGACTGATGGGCGGCTCTACCCTGTCCTATAGGCCGGCTGTGAGCCAGGACAGACTTGTGGCAAGGAGTTTGAGTTGAGCCCCATACCTTCAAAACCCAAAGAGATCCCAAACAGACCAAGTGTTTCCTCCCCGAAGCCCACTCTCTCCTCAGTCTTGCCTGTTTCTGCCCGCAGTAGATTCTGGCTCATAATGATCACCAAGTGGAACTGCTCCGCAGTTGCTGAGACTCAAGTCTTAATGGGAAGAGATGGCCAGTTTCTGCAGCAGTGGCAGGTGGGTTTGAACCTCAGACCTGCGGGTCAGCTGCTGAGCTCTATACTCAGTGGTACCCCCTCAAACTCATGTCCACTGGAACCTACATATGTGAAATGAGGTCTTCAGAGATGTGAGCAAATGAAGATGAGCCTATACCAGACCGCGGTCTACATACATGACTAGGGACTCACAGAGGTGGAGGAAGAAGGCGTGGATGACAGTGATCTGTCCATAGGCTGTGCCAACTCCAGACACTAAGAGAGAGGGAGGGAAGAGGTTCTCCCCAGGGAACTCCAGAGGAATCATGGTCATAGTGCCCCTACATGACAGAATAGACGTGAAGTGTCCCATGCATCCTCCAGGTTATAATCTTTATGGGAGCCAACTACCGAGCACTGGGTCTTTCTCCTGTGGAGCCGTTCGGTGGGTTCCCAACCCAGAGCTTTAAGTGCTGCACGGCCAGGGCTCCTGCCTGGCCACTGCAGCGAGAGACTACACGGCTGCTGTCTACGGTGATCTGTGTTCTTCTGGCAGCCCTGGGAGGCAAACACACGTTCTAACCCACATCCGTTTTCCCTTGGCTGCCAGAGACCATCTTTAAAGGGTGACGTTGGGGTGGGGGAATAATAATAAAAAAGGGTGATGTTGGGTCACGTCCCACACCTCACACTGAGTGGAGGCTGAGTCTCAGGTACCCACAGTCCGTGGTATCACTAGGCTCCTCTGTGCTGCCCTGGCCTCTAACTATGAATGATCTGCCCATCCCCTACAGGGGCTGGCTTGGGTCCTACCCACTGTCAGCTTCCCAGTGCGCCACACAGGCCAGGGTGCTATTCATCTTCTCCCACACACGTTCCAGCACCAGGAGCAAGACCTGAGACCTCACAGCCTCTGCTACGTGGCTTAGAAGATCAGGGAGCTCAGCAAGCTTGGAGGGCCCAACACACAGGACTGAAAGACGACTTGGACAGGAAGACCAGAAGTGTAAGGCGGTCGAGCACTGAGCAAGCCTGTCTCCCACACAGCCACGCTGCTAGCGACACAACCCCCATTCGGTGGGGAGCCTCACAGACAGGGTGACAGCAGCTCTGTGGAGGCGTCTGCTATGCCATGATGATCCTCCACAACCCGAGGGACAAAGATTAGCAACATGCACCACCCAGGAGCTCTTCCCAAGGGTTTCTCCTCTACAAAGCTCTAAAGCAGGCTGAGTGCCACAAAGGGAAACAGGAAAAAAGCAGGAGGCATGGAGGAGCAAGCGAAGAAAGAGAAAAATCAAATTGTTTAGCCTGTCATCAGGGGCCATGGAGTCCATTTTTGACTCGCAGTGACTCCACGTGACTTCCTGCGACAGAAGAGAACTGTCCCCACGACTTTCTAGGCATCACTCTTTACGGGAGTTGGTCTCCTGATCTTTCTGTCCGGGAGCCACTCGGAGGATCTGAACCACCAACCTTCCTGTGAGCGAGTGGAAAACAGTCACGCTGCACCCCTGGGCTCCTTGCTTTAACTTGAGGAGGATGGAAAGCTTCTCAGCCCCAGGTCTCTGTTCCCTCTGACTTCTCTTATGCTAACAGGTAAGGAAGTCTCCTGACACTCAAATAAAGACCTTTCTGGAAAACTTCCACACTCACTACCCGGTTTCATGGAGCGCAAGGCCAACTCCACGCAGGCAACAGCACGTGGTGGGGGTTTGTGGTGCCCCTACTTAGCTTTACAGCTTACACAGGATAGTGAAGAGAGGAAGACGTTTACCTTGCCAAACCAGCCATTGCCAATCTCCTGGATGTAGTTCAGACTATGGCGTGAGACTTGAGACTTCAAACCTTCTGCAAAGACAGAGAACATTTAAAAAAAAAAAAAAAAGACTTATTACAGGATCACTGTGGTTGGAACCAACTCGGGGGACCTAGCAATAAGCACCCATGGGTGACATTCTTTATTCTGTGATTCAACCTGTCTGCCAGTCACAAGGCACGGGCTTTATTTTTAATAGCAGGAGATTAGAAATAACCTAAGTTCGCACGGGAGGGGGAGGCTGTTTGATCAGCCGTGCTCCTAGATCACCGCCACTGAGTGGATTCTGACTCACAGCAGCTCTGCAGGATGGAGAGAACAGGCTGTGGGTTATGAGGACAGACAGCCTCGTCTTCTTCCTCCTGGGCTCAAGCTGCTGGCCTTGTGACGAGCAGCCTGATGCGCAACCACTGTGCCACCAGAGCTCCCATGTTCACGTGTCCTCGGTTCAAATCACACGAGTCTACAAACCCAAATGCACAAGCTGTCTTTCTTGATTAAAAAAAAAAAGACTCCAAGGGTATACTGGTGAGTGAGAAAGACTGGCAAATAATGTACTTATCATGCCTTGTGCGAGTCAAATGAGACACAAAGTAGTGTGTGTGTGTGTGTGTGTGTGGGGGGGGGTGTTGTCTGCATCAAGACACTGGTGAGAGGTGGAAGAAACCACAAAGAGAAGTCACCAAGGGATGTGGGGCTCAAATCCGAGGGTTAGAGGGAGACCCGTCACTGCACACACCTCCGTATGGTTTTAGTACCAAAGCATGTGCATATACTATCACGCCAAAAAACGAGACTACGTTTTACACTACACTACTTTTTTTTTTCTGAAACACTGGGAGTGTCTTTATTTTTATTTTTTATTAAATAACCATTTTATTAGGGGCTCATACAACTCATCACAATCTGTACATACATCATTTTTGCCCAGCACATTGATACATATGTTGACTTCATCATTCTTACAACACCCGCTTTCCACTTGAGCCCTTGGTGTCAGCTCACCCCCCCTCCCCCCGATAATGTATAAATTATTATTATTTTATCATATCTTACCCTATCCAATGTCTCCCTCACCCACTTCTCCGCTGTCCGTCCCCCAGGGAGGAGGCCATATGTAGATCTTGTCCTCTGTTCCCCCTTTCTCCCTCACCTTCCCTCCACCCTCTCGCTATCGCCACTCTCTCCACTGGTCCTGGGGTGTTCATCTGTCCTGGGATCACTGTATTTCCAGACTACACTGCATTTTAAAAGGAGGAGAGAATTAACAAAATTGGGTGGAATTCCTTCTGGGTCTGTTTGTGAATGGACAGCCCAACCTTTTCCCTGGACAGATCACAAGTCCCTGCCTATACTCCCACTGGGGGACTGGCCTTCAGGTCACCAGTTAGCTAACAAAGGCCGTTCAATGGCTGTTTCACAACCAACAGTACCAGCGTCCCGCTTAGAAGGACCAAGGAGACCTGCTGTATTCTCAAGGCAGGCCCAAGGCCCCCGAGGGGACAGAAGCACCTCCTGTAGTAAAACAACGGGCCTGACCACTGCTAAGCACCCGGCTGCCCAGTCTGCAGTCCACAGCGAGCTCCTCTCCTGTGCTCCCAGACAAACTGGGGAAGGATGCCACCAGGCTGAGCAGGTCTTACCTACGGAAGGCTGGAACTGGTTGGGCGCTGGGAGTGCAATGTCTGGTACGGTGAGCGTAAAGACTTCTGCTGGGGACTGCACCGAGGGGGTGTCTTCTGCTGGTGGTGTGAAATCTATCTCGTCATCAAAGTTGTCTTCAAACTCCTACAACGAAACAGGAGTCTCGTCACCTCTGACGGCAGTCAGTGCATGCGAGGCCATACGTAGGAAAGACAAACCTGAGCAGTGTTTGCCTGAGCAGTGTTCGCCTGAGCGGTGTTCGCTAGCCCTGGGCAGACCGAATTAATTCACTCCTCTGAGCATCAATTTCTGCCCCCAGTTCAAACTTAGCTCAAGTAACGGGCGTCGATCCTTGTGTTCTCAAATCCCAAAGACCAGAATTTGTAAACCTACAGCTTGAGGTTAAATGAGCTGTGTTCTAAAAGGGTCGTATGACTTTACAAAACAGAACCACTCTTCCATGCTTAGAAGTTTGCTTATGCAGAGCGGGAGTTTCAGTGATCCTTTTGTTGTCTGTTTGTGCTAAATGACGACGCACCTCGCAAACGTCTGTGCACATGGAAATTCAGAACTAACTTATTTTCCTTTTCACTGTACGTGCACCTCTAGTTGCGGGGTGCTGTCTATCAAAATAAGCACTGTGAAGCCATGCTTTTGAGGGAGCATTTCTCCGGAAAACATGACAAGGGGAAATTACCCTGCCAGGCTGAAAACGGACCAGGACCTTAGGCGGGCCAGTCAGTACAAGGCCAGCCTTTTCCGAATTGCCATCTTTGAACTGTCTGGTGTTTACCGAAAAGGTACTGTTTTTCATATGGGTAAGTGCTTGTGGGTCACACAAGTCTACCGTGGCCCTTGGCCCGATGGGGAAGGGCCACTTTCTCAGCGTGTGTGCAGGTCCTCGTCCGCTTTTGTTTCGGCGCTGCTTCTCTCCAGAGCTCCTTTTGAAGTGTCATTTGCTGAGCACCGTTAGGTGCCAGGCAGGCCGGCAGCAGGCTCTAGAGCAGGGCTTCCCAGCAATCTGCCTCCTAGCAGATTACAGCCAGCAGCTGCTGCGGGTGCCCCCTCTCCATGAGCACCTGGCCCTGTGCCAGCACCTGTCCCCCAATCAGAAACTTGGGGCTTCCAGGAAAACACAATGTGCTCTCTTCCTCTCCTCACACAAAGCAGTCTGGGGGATCCCTAGGGTTCAACTACCTAATGCCAAAAACTTCCGGCTATGACGCCGTTTCTGACCCATGGCAATCTCTCTGAGACAGGGCTTCAAACCACTGACCTTGCATTGAACAGCCAACACGTGACCAGGAAGCCACTGGGGCTCCATTCAACACCCATGAGAACCACAAACACACCGGCCTTCCAAAATTAATGACCTGAAACCATCACCAGCCTGTCCTTCCTCATGATCCCCACTCGCAGGACCCCAGGGCAGGGTGGGCGCTAGCAGACCAGGGCCAGCCTCGGGTCGTTGTGATGAACGCTGTGTGGGCACTGGCCTCAGCAGCGTGCTCCCATCCGCCCGTAGCAGTGACCGAGGTTTGTGTCTGAGCACAGCCCACCACACACGTACTAGTTATTCCCTGGCCTCACGGAAAGGTCTGATCTGCCCAGCCCTGCGCCTGAGGGACTGTGGGGCAGGGGCCCTTGTATACCTGAGTAACTAACACCTCGAAAGATGGCTTTGAGGGTCCCACCACCCGCACTCACCTTGAAGTCTATCTCTGGTTCCTTACAGCAGGAGACACAGTTCGCGATCAGTACGACGAAGAGCATTAGACTGCACACGGAGAGGATCAGGAAAGAGAAGGGCACTTCCGCAGCAGGCGCCTCCCCTGCAGAGAGAGAACCCACATGAAAGCCATGGCATTCCCCAAGTCACCTTTCACCCAGACAGAGATGGGGTGAGTAACAAGTTCAGTACCAAGTGCCGAGATGCTCAAGCCCACACTGCTGATCAATGCAGGGCACACCGAGCTGCTGGCCAGGAAGTTGTCTGAGATGGCCCGAGAGAGGCCACAGCCACTGTAGTCAGCTCCCCTGACAGGTACACCTCAGCCCAGCGGCAGGCAGGCAGGCAGACATGCACACGCACACGCATGCGCCGCCGCCGCCGCC